AATAGTGCAAAATATCTAGGTGTAATCTTCGATAAGAGAGTAACTTGGAGATTACACATAGAAATGATCGAAGCCAAGGCCTTCAGAACGTTCATTAGAGTTTATTCCTTATTCAAAAGTGAGCGATTGAGCGCTAACATTAAACTGACCCTCCATAAAGCTCTTATTAGATCCGTAATGACTTATGCTAGTCCCGCCTGGGAGTTTGCGGCAGACACCCATCTAGTGAAATTGCAGCGCCTGCAAAACAAGGTTCTCCGCACGATTGGCAATTTTCCAAGGCGCACACCGGTCCTCGATTTGCACAGGGCATTCAAAATCCTGTACGTATATGACTTTATAACAAAATTATGCAGGCAAAAAGCAGAAGTCATACAAAATCATGATAATGAGAAATTTCGCAACATCGGACAAGGCGAAGCCCGCCACAGAAAGTATAAGAGGCTTAAACTTGGCGGCGGTCAGGCATACGACTGTTCAAGTGACTAGACAGCCGTGGTAGTGAATAATACTGGAAATAGGGCATAATCTGCTGTACTGAGCCTGTACTGACAGAGACCTTGTACATATTTTACATAAAAGTAAGATATAAGTGTGTATTGTAAATTTATATAAATACAGATAGTGGACATATTAATACAGACTGACTGACAAATGACAGACCCGACCTCTCGTCAGAGAGGGCGCCTCACATAGACAAGGCAGTAACTTTCATTAAAAAAAATATCTGGCCATGAGCCCCAGCTGGGATTCGACACCAAGACAGACAGACTGACTGACCGTCAGTTGCAACATGACCTTAACTTTTGAGCAGGACACACATCCGTCTCAGCACGTTCAGCCATTAAACTCTCCACTGCGATCAGTCTTTAGAGACATCAGCTTCTCACTTCAGCTATAGTTGACGCAGGCCTCCAGCGACCAGGCAACCGATGCAGCAGCAGCAAGTCTCCAGCGGACGCATCTTCTGCAAACCCAGCAACAGGCCGAGCTAGCCGATCCTATCGGCGGGATCAGCACCGCATCAAGTTTCAGACCGCCAGCTAAACGGCCGTAAGACTGCGCCATCTACAGAAGAGTGAAATTGCGGTGGAACAAACTGCCCTTAGAGGGCCAGCTAACGCTTGACCACTCCACATATATTCCGCGCCCTGCTATTTGGTAAATTCAATTTAAACAATTCAATATACATACAAGTGTTAAAAGTTTCAAGTGGTTGTCATTGCAAATATCGACGATCCCACATTGGTGACCCCGACTGAACATGGAAACCGCAGACAGTTCATTAGAAGTGCCAAGAATGGCCGTGCGGCTCCCGCCGTTCTGGCCCGAGAGACCAGCCGTGTGGTTCGCCCAGGCCGAGGCGCAATTCACCTTGGCTTACATTAACAGCGAGCGGATCAAGTTCTGCCACGTCATCTCACAGCTGGACCACCGATACGCCACAGAGGTGGAGGATATCATCACCTCTCCACCCGAACAAGGCCCCTACAACCTACTGAGGACCGAGCTTGTGAGGCGGCTATCCTCATCGCCAGAGCAGCGCTTCCGGCAACTCCTCACGGTCAAGGAAATTGGCGACCGTAAGCAGTCCAAGTTCCTGAGGTACCTCAAAAGTCTCGCACCAGACGTGTCTGGTAACGTCATCCGAAGCGTCTGGACCAGACGGCTGCCCCGTAATGTACAGAGCTTCCTCGCCGGCCAGACCGAGAGCAACTCGGAGGCCGCAGTCCTCTGTGGGGACCGCATCTCCGAGGTCGAAGTCCAGCCAGGGCTCGCTGGCGTTGATGAACCCACGGACATCGGCACACTTCGGCAGGAGATCGCTCAACTCTCCCGCCAAGTGGCTGCACTCAGCACCGAACAGGACCGCTTCTACCCCCGCTTCAGTGAGTCCGACAACAAACCGAGAGACAGAGGCTCCAGTCCCAAGCGTTCCCGCCCCGCCTTCAACAACCACCGGCCCGGCAGCAGATCCCTCTCCCGGGGCACACTGCATCCAGTATCTGCTGGTACCACCGCCGCTTCGGCGCTCGGGCACAAAACTGTACTCCGCCCTGCTCCTACCGCCAGCAGGGAACCTGACGCAGCAGACATCATCGGTGGCACATGTCTCACCTACGACAACAGACCGCCTCTTCATAACAGACAGAGTCAGGAAACGGCAGTTCCTAGTCAACACGGGTTCGGACCTCTATGTATACCCCCGCAGGCTCGTCCATCGACGAATGGAACGTACCAACTATGACCTGTGTGCGGCTAATGGCACTACAATCTTTACATACGGATGGCTGCCTCTCAGCCTCAACTTGGATCTAGCCGAAAAATCACGAGGCGCTTCGTGGAGGCCGACGTCACGCATCTTATCATTGGCGTTCACTTCCTGTCGCATTTCGATCTCCTGGTGGACTGTCGGAACAATCGCATTATGGACGGGTTCACGACGCTGTCAGCCCCGGGCTTCGCGGCCAAAGCACTGATCCCCAGCGTAAAAACCATCAGCAAAAACACACCGGTTAAAAACCACCTCACAGAGTTCCCGGACTTGACCCACCCAACCGATGTCCAGCGCGAGATACGACACAACACCGTCCACCACATCAGGACTGTACCTGGCCCACCAGTAACATGCCGACCACGGCGACTGGCACCGGACCGGCTCGCTATCGCAAAAGCCGAGTTCGACGCCATGTTGCGCGATGGTAAAGCTCGTCGATCAGAGAGTTCATGGTCCTCGGCACTACACATTGTGCACAAGAAAGACAACGTTTGGTGTCCATGCGGCGACTACAGAGCGCTCAATTCCCGAACCATCCCTGACTGCTACCCTGTCCGCCATATCAACAATTACTCCCACCAGCTTTTCGGCTGTTCCGTCTTTTCCAAAATAGACCTTGTGAGAGCCTATAACCAAATTCCCGTCAATCACGGAGACTTCCAGAAGACGGCCATTAACACTCCTTTCGGCTTGTTCGAATTCCCCTTCATGTCCTTCGGCCTGCGCAGTGCCGCCCAAACCTTCCAACTGTTTATGGACAACATTCTGCGGGGTCTCGACTTCTGTTTCGCGTACCTGGACGATATCCTCATATTCTCCCGATCACCGGAGGAGCACGAGGGACAACTACTGGAACTCTTCCAGCAACTCCAGAAACACGGGATCATAATCAACCCGACGAATTGCGTCTTCCGAGCACCTGAGGTCACTTTCCTCGACTACACAAGGTGTCCGCCGAGGGGTCCCAAACTCTCGCAGAGCGAGTGACTCATCTGCAGGACTGCCGACCACCAAAGACCGCCAGCCAGCTCCGTCATTTCCTGGGCATGGTTAACTTCGAACGGCGATTTCTGCCCCACGCGGCTGCCACCCAAGCACTACTGCACGACGTTCTCTCCGGCCCTAGAGTCAAGGGCTCCCACCCCGTCTCCTGACACCGGAGTTCCTGAAGGCATTTGAAGAGTGCTAGGCGAGTCTGTCACAAGCCACTCTGCTCGCACACCCTGACCCATCCGCTCCACTCGCACTCGTCACGGATGCCTCCAAGTCCGCCATGGGTGCCGTGCTGCAGCAACAAGTCAACAACATCTGGCAGCCACTCGCCTCTTTCTCGAATAACTTAACCCTGACCAACAAAAATACAGTGCCTACGACCGCGAGCTGCTGGCCATTTACGAGGCCGTCAAACATTCCCGACATATGCTGGAAGCGCGACACTTCACCATCTTCACGGACCACAAGTCCATCACTTACGCCTTCCAGCAGAAGCGAGATAAATGCTCACCCCGTCAGTTCAATCATCTAGACTTCGTCTCTCAGTTCACAACCGACATCCGACACATCTCTTGACAGGACAACATTGTCGACAATGCCCTCTCTCGTGTGGAGTCCGTCACTGCGCCACCACCTTACGACGTACTCGCCGCATCACAGGACAGCGACGACGAACTCCGAGCACTCCTGGTGTTCAACCACCACCCTGCGGTTCGAAAAACCAACAGTCCCCGGTACCGCATTCTCCATCTACTGCGACACGTCTACCGGAAGGTCTCGGCCGTACGTCCCAGTGCCTCTACGACACCAAGTGTTCCAGTTCATCCACGAGATGTCACACCCAGGCACCAGAGCAAAAGCAAAGCTGGTCGCACAGCGTGCAGAAGGACTGCCGCACCTGGGCACGTGCTTCCCAGTCCTGCCAGCGCTCCAAAGTCTCCCGCCACACAGTCACTCCACTGGGCGACTTTACACCACCGGCAGCCCGCCTTCTGCACGTCCATATCGACACTGCGAGACCCCTTCCGACGTCAGCGGGCTACACCATACTGCCTCACTGCAGTCGACCGTTTCACCCGCTGGCCAGAAGTCGTCCCCATTCCGGACATCACAGCCGACAAAGTGGCACGCGCCCTACTGACCGGCTGGATATCACTCTTCGGTTGCCCCCAGACGATCACCACCGACCAGGGATGCCAGTTCGAATCACAACTATTCAAATCCCTGGCCAGGCTGTGCTTCATCCAGCTTTCACGTGCAACCGCACACCACTCAGCAGCTAACGGACTCGTAGAACGCTTCCACCGGACGCTGAATGCAGCCATCATGTGCCACAGGGACCAAGAGTGGATTGAGGTGCTTCCCCTGGTTCTCCTCGGAATCCGCACTGCTTTCAAGAAGGACCTGCCAGCATCGGTAGCTGAGCTCGTTTACCGCGAGCCCTTAAGAATTCCCGGGGAGCTACTAACTCCAGCTACCGACTCCGCGGATCCAGCGCAGCTCATCATAGAGCTCCACCAGCACATGGCCCGTCTCCGAGTAGTTCCAGCAGCACGCCACGCCTTCCCAGCTACTTTCATGCACACTGCCCTCGAGAAGTGTACCCACGTCTTCCTTCGGCAGGACTCAGCACGCCAAGCACTGGAGTCCCTTACACCGGCCCCTACCAGGTCCTGTCAAGGAGACAGAAGACGTTGCAACTCCTCATGCGCGGAAGGCACGTCACTGTATCAGCCGACAGGGTCAAGCCAGCCTACATCCTGCAAGAGACCGTCCGCGGGGTCAGCATCTACCCACCAGTCGTAGCCGCACCGAACGTAGGACCACCTGCCATCCCACCTGTGGCTCCGGGCGCCACATCCATTTACCCGCTCGCCTCAACTTGTGAGCATTAATTTTTCTGAGGAGTGGAGTGATGTGGGGGACATCCCACATAGCACGCTCTTTCCACCGGTCTTTCATACAACACTCACTCCTTAGTGCATACCGCATTGCCGGACGTTTCATTTATATTTATACAAGCACGCACTGCAAATTTCATCTCCTCATTTTCGCTAGCCAATCAGCGCTCTGAAAATTGTTGCTCCTCAAATGGAAGTTTCGCTCCGCCCACCGAGCATGGTATAAAAGGCGCAGCCCAACAAGAGCAGGACACGATCAGTTGAGGGCAGGAGTCGATCAGAAGATCAGAATTTTGCATGTGGATCTGTATGAGTCAGGATTCAGTTCACAGAGGTTTCGAGTATTTATTGATTGAAGTTTGGCAGGAGTGAGATTCGGAGGTTGCAGATCAGGAGATTAGTTGGAGAGACGCTTACCGAAGGAGTTTTTGAGCTCTCTCAGGTGACCATAGACTTGGAGTGTGTTCGTTTGCAGCTTACCTGGTTGACTATTCTGCTACCAGTGTAGAGTGCGTGGCTAGTGCATTGGAAGTGGGGGCTGTCCCGTCTGCAACTGACTATCAAGCAGGCGAAATGACACAGCCGACCTTTTGTGAAACGCGGAGGACTGCAATTGTGGATTCCTTTAACAGGAGCCACGTAAACTTAAGAAATAGTAATCCTCACTGCCAGGAAGATATCGAGTTACTGGCCAAAGGTTTACGAACAATAAGGCAGCTTATCCACACTTCACCCTCCATGAATGGAAACGGCGCAGTATGGAATAAACTTTTAACGAAATCCGAGGCCGAGAGGACAGTGCTCTGTAAGCACTTCGGCGGCAAGGCGCTCTTTACAGCCATGCTGCGCCTCTATGCTGCCATCCACAGGGAGATGCGAGAGTCTCCCCTGCTGGAAGAAAAACGAGATTCAGCTGAGGAATTTCGAGAGCTAAGGAGTCGAAAGCGAAACTCCTCAGAAGAACAGACGAAAAAAACATAGATATCAACTAGCCCCAGGGACCCTAGGATAAAATCCCAGGGTGAAGTAACAACAAAGAACTTCTTTACGCCACTGAGGACATCAGAAATGGACGTGGACGAGACAGCCAACAAGTCGGGAGAACAGCAGCCATCGGACAAGCCAGGTAGGCCGCCTCCAATTGTACTAATCTCCATGACAAACCTGATGCAGTTGCAGAGGAAGGTCAAAGACCTAGTCACGGAAATTTTGAGTTCCGCAACACCAGGAGCGGTACCAGAATTGTCACGAAGGAAATGGCGGTCTGTCAGCTATCAAAAATTTTCTAGAAAGTAACAATCTATCGTACTTTACATACTATCCCAAGTCTGAGAAACCCATTACAGATGTTATATTTCACCTTCCACAAAATACTCCAGCGGAAGATATTTCTGACAGTCTGATAAGTCTGTGGTTTGACGTCATTAGCGTCAAACAAATGACAACCAGTCGTCGGATTCCTCAAGAAGGAACAAATACCATTTACCTTCCCTTGTTCCATGTCACACTTCCTATAACGGAGAAGTCCTAAGAACTCTTTCGGCTGACCAACTTCTGCCACATTGCCATCAAGGTAGAGGCGTACATAGCACAAAGCGGGCTAACACAGTGCTACAACTTCCAGCAGTTCGGCCACGTTTGGGCAAACTGCAAACAACCCCCATGTTGTTTGAAGTGCGGAGGCGGCCACCTACATAAGGAGTGCCCAGAAAAAAGGGAACTCTGCCTCCACTCCAGCATGTTGCAACTGCCGACTGGCGGAGGAAGAAAACCCCCAATTCCCGCCAATTATCGGAGTTGCAGATACGCCAAATAGGAGCAACAAAAGAGGTAGACACAGAGAACGCCCAGAACTAACACAGGGAAGGTGTTCTCATCAAACGTCATCACTCCAGGTGTCTCCTTCGTGGCGGCACTCAGAAGCGGCGCAAAGCAACATCCTCAAACAAGTCCCTCTCCGGTGGCTTCTACACCCGAAGCAAGACAGCAGTTTATTCCGACCCCTGCACTGTAACAGGAAACAGGTCAGTCAGTTCAGGCTCCTCATATAAACAGTCCAGCTATCGACAATATGTT